TTCTGGTCCGGGGGCGTCAGCTTCTGGACCGTCGGCTTCTGGACCGCCGACTTCTGGAGTGGAGAAGGAGTTGCTGCAGATGGGACCGCTTGGACAGGCTGGACCGGATGCGGTGCGACCTCCGGGACCACCGCTGGAACAGGATGCGCGACTTCCGGGACCACCACGGGAACTGGATGTGGTGCGACCTCTGGGACCACCGCTGGGACAGGAGCTGACTGAACTGGTGGTGCCGGAAACTGGGAGACCAGGGAGGATAGATTGTCCAGCTGGAGCTCCTGGAGACTGAGGCTCTGATGGAGTTGGGCCAGCTCGGAGACCGGCAAGCTCTGCTGGGTGGGCTGCGGGTTCAATCCTTTGGCTAAGAGATGAGGTAGCTGCAGACTGGACCGGAACCTTCTCCTGGTAATTCGGGGAGGATAGTGTGTCCAGCTGGAACTCCTGGAGGCTGACGAGCTGACGGATCCGGCCAAGCTCCGCCTGGAGCAAAAAATAGACAATTGTGATAAAAATTGTAAAGAAAGAGAGAGAGTGAAAAGGAAAGAGGGAAATCAGTGGATCCTAAGGAAGGTGGAATAGGTAGGGAGAGCAGAACAAGGAGAGGGTGGTGATGAAGGTCACACCAAAACCAGCCTTAACAGGTGAGTCTTCAGCTGCTTTTTAAAGGAGACCACTGAGTCCACTGATCTCAGACTCAGGGGGAGAGAGTTCTAGAGTCTGGGGGCCACGGCAGCAAATGATCTGTCACCTTTGATCTTTAGCCTGGTGCTGCACAACCAGTAGGCTTTGATCACTGGACCTCAGTGGCAGTAACCATTATTGGTCTTAGCTAAGCTCGGACTAGCCGTTAGCTCATCCGTCCGGTTTGAGCTAATCTCTTTTTCTGCCGTCTAAGATTCATCAACAGCCTTTTTTCTTTTCCATCTTTGATAAATGATCACTTTGAGTAGCTTAAAACAGTTTTACTCACCAATCGGCTACTTTTTCCATCAGCCTGAAAACCCTCGGAGTTCTTATGAGTCCCGACTCTCCTGAAACTGGACCTTCGTTGTGGCTGTCCCCCCGTCCTCCCCGGTGCTCCCTGTGTCAGCTGGAGTGATGAGTTATTTAGCCGGGGAGAGAAAATGAGCTCCTGTCTCAAGAGGAGCCGACTCCATCCATGAGACTCTCCTCCGATTGGATTCCTCTCATCGTCTCTTCTCCTTAATCTGTCGGTGCTCAGAATAAAGAGTGAAAAGGAGCGGCGGGGAGTAAACATGGTGGAGTTGCTGTCAGCCAGAAGACATGCTCATTCAGCTGATAACGTCGGCCTCGACCTTCTGGGAGTCGAGGTACACTGGAAAATAAAAAATCGCATTGTCTGACGCTTAAGAGTCAAGCTGAACCTGAATTAAACACTTTCTAATTCCTCTGTGTGTCATAGATCATCTTTCATCATCTATGTATTTACTCATGAAGAGATAACCCTTCTGATTTTGTTTAGTTGGAAAACAAAATAAAATTCTGCACTCGTCCAACAAACTAACTTAATGGTGTCTCAGTAATAGGAAAAAAAGGCTACAAGACACCTCCCGTGTATCCTCACTCAGCTAGCTAAACGGCTAACAAACGGAGAACACACGCCTCGGTAGAACATGAACATTGGAACACGTCTTGGTGGCTCCCGATGACGTATCTCCTAGGCAACCGGGGCGGGGCCAAGACATCAAGGCGAGGTTCCTTGGCATTGAGAAACACCCTTGGAGTCTTACTTCCTGATATTTGGACATCTCTCCTCTGATTGGCTAACAGCAGCAGGACTCTACCACTGACTCTGGTTGCTCCGCAACGTTGATGTTTTGTCTCCGCAAATAACACAAGCCTGGAGGAGTTCTGCTGTGTGGTAGAGTTGCTAATGCTATTAGTTAGCTTCTACTAGCAGACACGTTCTCGGTAGTTTCCGGGACGCTAAACCAACAACAGCCTTCCCGGTCGTGAGTCCAGATGCGTGATTACATGAATGTTAGTGACAGTGTGATGTCACTCTGTCAGGATTTTTCTAATCGTAGAGTTTTACCGTCTGTTTTCTATCAGAAGCTGATGCAGGAAATGGGTGTAGGAGACTATTTTATGTTCAGCCTGCATGTTAAACAGAAGCTCACTTTAAGAGATGCTGTTTGAATGCTGATAGCTGAAACCTGCTGAAGGCTTAAGACACAAATGTTTCTATAGTTTCAATTTTAATCAGAAAAACATATCCAGTCATGTGCAAAACCTCTAAAATGTGAAAAGCTGGATCGTACAGCAACATCTCAAAGTCGTTTCAACTTTGAATAAAGCCTCCAAGTTGATTCTTCTTATTTCTATAGTCTTGTGTAATGGACCAGAAGCTGAAAATCGTAATATTTTATTTTTAAATTAGTTAAAATGACACAAAAATAGCAGAAAATAAAACAAACACATATTTTGCTGAGTCAGCATTTTAACAGGAAAAGTAGACAGTATAAAATTATCAAAGAAAATTATCTACGGAGAGTTATTATTGTAGAATCACTAATAAAGCATGAAAATACATAAAGCAACCTTTAAATTTGAAAACAGAGAATGTTCTTACATTTGTGAATGAAATATTGATCCAAAAATAAGAAACCAAAAAAAAAATTCTGTTTTCTTTTTTATAAATTTTATTGCGTTTGAGTAAAATGAAGCTATATGGTTGAAAAATATTTATGCAAATGCATTTTCCTACAAAAAAATACAAGAATTTCCTCCCAAAACATTGATGTTTCTGTTTTTCCCCCTTTTTTCTCATTGCAGTAACCAAACATTATAATTCCGGGTTTTTTCCCCTCCGGTGTCTTTGCCATCTTAATTAACAGTTCCCATTTGCACTGAGATAAAAAAGGTGTGATTTTTGGCTCAAAACGATGGTAGCCTGCAGTTTTGATGTCACGTTGGAAAGCGATGAGAGCCAGGTTTGCTTTGCAATTATGTTTTATTTTTAACCGTAGAGTTTGGTGAGTGTTTGACAGCCGGAAGATGAGCTGCTGCGTCAGCATCCGGCTCTGGATTCAGATTTAGATCCAGCTGGAAAAAGTGCCCGCTGTAACTTCTGGGTGTTAAAGGGAAACATCATCATCAACATATTTAGGTTCTTTGTATTTCTGATGATGGCACCAGAGGCATTTCCGCCCTTCTGGTTGTTGTTTTGTCCCAAACCTCCATTTTGCTGCTTCTCCTGCAGCTTCGGAAAACCCAACACAAAAACAACAAATCAGACTTCTGGTTGCTGACGTAGCATTAACGAAACGCACGTGTCCAAAGGATTTTGGTTACATTTGGAAGATTCGACATCGTTCGACCTGCCTTATCGTTTTTACTTTTTAAAAGAGCCGTTTGAACTCCCAGAAAGGTGACATTTTTTATTTACACACTGGTGTTAGAGGTTTTTAGTCGTGTCGTCTTACAATGCAGACGTGTAACATTTGTCACTCGCAGAAACCCGACCCTAACACCACAGACGTAGTTTAGACTTTAGAAGGGGGGGCTCTTTTGTGCAATGTCAGGAATGCAGAACTGTCAAGTACACAGGTGGCAGGAACGGCCAATCGCACGTTAGCAAGTATCAGCAGAGCCAATGAGCTCATAGACGGTTCTGATGGGAAACAGGCTTCAACACAAGCGGTTGTTTTTCACTTAATCCTAGTGCTCAACCAGTGTCAGTTTAATGTAGCGTAATGTTTATGGAGGGTAAAAAGTGCAGGGGACCAAAGTGTGTGTGTGTGTGTGTGTGTGGGTGGGAGGGGGGTGGGGGGCAGGGGGGGATGACCCCCCTACCTCCCAAAAAAATACGTCCATGCCTAACATGACCTCAGAGGTTTTCACAATGCAACTGTTGGAATCGACGTTTCCGTTGGTTACCTAGTAACCCTAATTAGCCACTGTCATAATCTTTAACATTCCTGTTGATCCTGGTCCTGCCCAAATGGTTTGTAGGTACAGCCATGGTAATTCCTAAAATTTAGAGTTTTATTCCAGTCGTGTTCCCGAGAGAAAACCTTGAGTTTATTAGTGAGAAGGTTCACATCCACACCTGAACACAAATCTGCTCCAAAGTGTGCCGTTCCATCTGCAAAGTAGCCAAATCCCTCCTCTCCTTCGCCGAGCGCGGATCCCCGCCTCGAAGTAAACGTTTCACTCAAAAGGTTTTAATCCCCCCGTGGCACGTCGCCTTTGTTTTCCGACAGATTTGCCCGCAGTCAGGCTTTGATTGCACCGTGCGAGTAACGCCGCGTTGCGACAGATGATCACTTTCAGCCTCAGCGTAACTTTCATCTGAGTGTTTCTGACTCCTCTGGTTGTTCTGGTTTTGCGCCTCTGTGTGATGGACAGTACCGTACGCAGTGTGTGTGTGTGTGTGTGTTCACCTCGATCACACAGAAGAGAAATTCACACACACACTTCCTGTGGCTGTGCACATCTCTGAATCTTGCTCTCTCCCACTGGTTATCCCAATAACTCTCACTTTCTTTCTTTCTTTTTTCCCACTTGCATCAAGTCCCACTTCATGTGAGGTGATGAAATAGTTGGAGAAGTCAGGAAATCTGTGTCTGGTGAAACCGTTTTGGACTCAGAGATAACCGAGCCCTTGTGGGGGGAAAGAAGAAAGCCCGCCGGCTTTAGAGTCGAGTTTTCTGAGCGACTGCGCGCGTGTCCTGTGTCGCTGAGTGTGTGTTAGTGTGTGTGAATGTGAGGTTTCCACAGCTCTTTTAGTTCAGAGTGGTTCTTCTCCTCTACCTCTGCTGAAGATTTTCTTTCAGTAATGTGTTGATTTCCTCACCTTTATCACACGCAGCGCCTTAAAGATTTCTTATTTCAACCAATTATACCAATTATAACGACCTCCATCGTGTTTCCTCCATTGTTTCTTCCTTTTCGTGTTCTTCTACATCGTCTGTCGTCCTTATTATCAAGTTTGGTTTTCTTCCCGTCTCACCACCTCCTGCTCCTCCTCCTCGCAGGGCTGCTCGTCTCCCATCGTGGTGAAATTCGCCGACACGCAGAAGGACAAGGAGCAGCGGCGTCTGCAGCAGCAGCTGGCGCAGCAGATGCAGCAGCTCAACAGTGCGACCACCTGGGGGAGCCTGACGGGCCTGGGGGGCCTCACTCCGCAGTATCTGGCAGTAAGAGCCGTCGCCGCCATGTCCAAAATCACTACAAATCCCAAAATATGTCCTGAAATTCCCATTTCTCCTGACGTTAGGGTTCCTCACCTTCGTCCTTGTTTCCATTGCAGCAAGGAAGCTAGATCTGCTCTGGCTTGGAGGCCCCTGGCTTATTCATAGAAGTTATGTTGTTGTAATTTTGGGCTTTTATGACCATATTCTCAGAGTGGCCCGACAGACAGCTTTGAGAAAACCAAGAATTAGGTGATGAGTTTAGTTTTGTTGGGAATTTTCTTGCTGCCGACAAACAAGCTTCTGGATATTCGATGACTCGTCACCGATGGTGGAGCTCATTCTATCAGGGGTGCCCAATCCTGGTCCTTGAGGGCCGGTATCCAGCAGGTTTTAGTTTTAACTCTGCTTCAACACACCTGATTTTAATCAGCAGGTGATTAGCGGGCTTTTGCAGAGCTTGACGAGCTGCTGCACAGGTGACTCAACCACTGAATCAAGTGTTGGAGCAGAGAAACCACAAAACCTGCTGGATACCGGCCCTCCGGGACCAGGATTGGGCACCCCTGGTCGATTCCAGAAGCTTCATGTTAGCCAGTTTTGTCCAATCAGCATCCGGTTCTTTGTTTGGAGATCACAGTCCTGTCGGTTTCAGCCACCTGACTTATGATGGACTTCTTTGTTATTCCATCCGCATCATAATGCATCCACCACCGTGCTTGAGCGCTGGCTCTGTGTTCTTTGGTCGGAAAACATCCAACTGACTTCTAAAGCCGTGTCCACACTGGAGGCGTCAGCCAGATCCGTCATGTCTAAGTTGTTGATCCTCACAGAAGTTTTCAGGTGCATCCCAGAAGCAGCTTGCCGCACGGCTAAAGCTAGGATTGGGTTCTATTTTTGCTGTTGTTAATTTCCATAGTTAACATAGGGCTAGACAGGAAGTGACAGACAGTTTCAGTGTAAAACACACAGTAACTGTCAAAATAAAAGTGGATGGCAGAGATGTGATTTCTTATCTATGTCGATGACATCACTACGTGTGATCTAACGGCTTATTTACGCCCAGCATCTTTCAAGAAGTGCAGCGGTGTGACATCATGTATGACATCAAACAAGATCTCCTTCGTCCTTTTGGTTCAATGGTGGATGGCGCAAGCAAACCGTGACCTTTGAAGTCTCGAGGGAGTTTGTCATCCCGCAAGTCCAGCGAGGAGGACAGCGGAGATCTCCGGCTGAGACTCCCCCCGGTGTGAATCGGTGCGCCACGAAGCACACGAGTGAACCGTCCCTCTGCCGTCCTGCGCTGCTGATGCCTCCAGCGTGGACCTCGTATGAGACCACACGTCTCTGTCAGTGCAGGACCTGTAGCCTGAAGGTGTCTTCTTTAGTCTCTGTGGACGAAGACCTCTAAGGTTTTTCTTAGTCTAACTGGGAACAGTTTGCGTCTTCCAGAACTCGGTAAACTGGTGACATCAGAAACGTTTGTGCAACTGGTTGAATCGATGACCTTGTGTAGAAACGTCCCCTAAGAGACTTTCCTAACTTATCCGTAATTCTTGGCTCTTCACTGAGATCACCAGATTTAGTCAAACCCGACGTGCACAGAGAAACGTCTGTGATCCGTCGGGACCGTCTTCTTATAACCGCTCCCCTCAGGAGATTAAATCAGTCATCAAAAGCCCAAAATCAGCACGACAATCATTCGAGTCTGGCCTTTTTTCTTCTCCACGAGTTCCTGAGACGTAGTTCTGTGTGTACATAAAGCAAATGCTTTCACTGGGATCGTTTTAGTGAACGTGTCAGATTGTCTGGATAATCTGGAGCCGCGACAGTCGTCCGATGCCCGAAACTGTTCTGCACAGAATCGGAGGCGATTTCACCAACTGGACGTTCCCTTTCTTATCTAGAAAACGTCACACACTTTATTCATTGCTGTTAAAAATCTTCAGTGATGAGGATTGTTGGTGAAATCAAGCCAAAAAGGACAAAAGTCTCCAAGTCAGCTGGATGCTGCTTCTTAAATCTGTGAGAATAACGTAGTTTTGTCAGATTAGGTCGAGACAAAAAGAGAGAAATCCAACAACAGAAACAAGATGTTGACTTGCTGTTAATTTGAGTCTTGAGCTTCCGGCAGCATCAGTATTCCTGTTTAGTTTTGGTATCTAATTAGTCGGCTAGATTAGAGCTTTCATGCACAAGTTGTCTGGGAGAATCATGGAGGAATACACACTTGTGTTCTCAGAGAGGAGAGATCAAACTATATTAGCAGCTCATTTACTCGTGGAGCGCCGATGCAGAAAGCTCGCCGGCTGAGAGCTCCGCTGCTCGGCTTTATGAAGGCATGCGCTGAACTTCACGTCCCCGTCCTCCTCACTCTGTTTCCTCCTCCTTTTCCTCTCTCTGTGCCCTCCTTTTAGCTGCTTCAGCAGGCGGCCACCTCCGGTAACCTGGGAGCCTTCAGCGGGATCCAGCAGATGGCCGGTGAGTCCAGAGCCCGTTTGAAGCCACCGCAGCAGCAAACTCTTTGTGGTAACTTTGTTTTCCCGCAGACTTCTAAAAGAGGACCAAAGAGCATAAGAGATGAACTCGCGTGGTGGAGGAGAGAGAGATGGTTGCCCTGAAGATTTAGTAACTGTTGCTAAGATTTGTCTTGATCTTTTAATGAGGCCAGAGAGGAGCTGTGCCCTGGGCGTGCAACTGTAGCAGCCGGGCTTTGTCGGGGATGGATGAATGGAAAAGAAAGGAGGGAAAGGGGGTGCGCAGACGTGACGGTGTGGAGGTGTTGTTCTGGAGAGTGGCGCCATCTACTGGACAGCTGGGATTTCCTGCAGCTTCAGTTGGACAAACTCAGAGCCAGACCGCTCTCGGGCTCTTGATTCCAGGAAGTCCGAAGCTGCTGGTGTGAAAAAAAGTAAAAGTCCTTTAGTGTGAGGCTGAAAGCAGAACTATTTAATTTAAAACCAGATACGATCATTCTGAGGGCAGAAATGTAGGTTACTGTAGAGTCTGAGGACGAGACTCGCTCTCTTCCTCTTTTCACTGTGAAATTCTCTCTTTCATCACGGTTTCTTCCTCCCATCCTCATGCCAGCCTCCTCTGCTCTTCGTCGTTTCTCAGCTTTTAGTTCTTGCTCTCTGGTTGGAGACAGGAGCAGGCCTGAACCCGTTGGGACCTTTAACCTCGCCTGTTTGTTTATTTTATTTTTTTAAATCTGCGGCCTCCGGCGCGCATTCTCCTCACGGCGACAGGCAGAATCTGGGATTTCTGGAAGCGAAAGGAGAGGGAACGGCGTCTGTTGGTCCTCCATCTGCACCGCTGAGCGAGAAGCCAGCGAGCGTTAGTGATTGGCAGGCGACGTGAGACAGCTGAACGGCATCTGGTCCCGGTCTTTAACACGAGGAGCTGCAGAGCTGAGAGGCTTCAATTACACCAATGAGCATTCAATTAGACGCAGCCGATGGCAGGCTGCTGCAGCGCTGGTGCACGCACACACACACACAAGACCTGCTGCACGCACCATCTGCACAACCCAGATCCGCTGATGTGCTCGTCTCATCCTCGTCTTTTTCGCTCTCCGTGCAGCCTTGTCTGCTCTTTATTCCTCTCCAACGCTGTTTTTTATTTATTTTTTCCTGCCGCCTGCTCCTCCTCTCCTCACAACTGCTGTGAAGATGTGTGTTCGGTAAGGGAGATGGTCTTTGGCAAACGCAAGAAAAGAACTGGAGCTCCAGGGGGGAAAAAAAGGTGGGAAAAGGCGGCGTGCAGGGAGGAAGATAGAGACGGGGAAGAAAGGGCCGCTTTGTGGTTGTTTTTGTCATCATCCGAGGGAGAGGATCGGAAAAAATAGACAAGAAAAGAGTCTGACAGGAAGGAATAAAGGCCGGAGTAGAGAGGTGGAGAAAGGGTGAAAACAAAGGAGAAAGAGGAGAGAATGACGGCGAATTACAGTCGCAGTTCGGTTTTCTGACGCGTGTTTTCTAAGGCCTGTCGACTGTGGCGGCCATCTTGGATTGAGCCGGCTCCAAAAGTTACTCCGACAGCGACGAACGTTTGTTCAAAGGAGAGTAAAACTCAAACTCAAGGGAGAAAATGCAAAACAGGCACTGTAAAAAAATCTAATGTGACGGAAAGAGACGGATGGAGGAAGGACACGACCGGACAGAGAAGGAGAGACGAAAAACCGGGAAGGGAGTGGAGGTGCTTCAGAGAAAAGTGAAGGAGGTGACGGAAAAACACAACGGGACCAGGAAACGAGTTATTTAGCTGCCTGATGAACACAAACCCATCAGATCTGTCCGCCGCGGTCCAAACACACACTTCTGAGACAGAATAGAGCGGCGGGAACGCTCATAAATAAACCCTTCAGCCTGAATTGGCTCGCGCTCCAAGCATGTGTTCACAGAATTTGATAGAAAGAGTGACGGCTGCTTTTCATTCCTGCCTGGCGCCAGAATAGAAATCTATTTTAGCTTTTTGGCAGAAAATTGGAGAAAATCGCCCTGAAAACACGATTGGTTTTGGCGGCGGCGCCTCTGAGTAGCACAGAGGAGTGAAGAAGACACACACGTGTCGTTGTTTCCCGCCGTGGACTCTTCTGAAAGCACCGCAAGCTCTTTCTTCTTCTTTGTAAACATTTAATTTACCAATCAGAGCCGTGAATCCGAGTGAGAATCCAGCCATCTGTTGTCATCCTTCAGTTCGGTTGTCTGGGTGAAGGATATCTGTATCTAACACACGGGATCTTCTTCACGCTGTTGTGTTTGTGTTGTCTGTGTGTGTGTGTGTGTGTGTGTCTCCATGTATATACACCCAGACTGTATATACGACGCCTCACATGTTCCACCCTCCCAACTCTAACAAGCTCAAGAGTCAAAGAAAACCATTTTGGAAAGTTCTGCTCCGATCCCTGGTTTGTGTTTTTTCTCCAGCTTTACTCTGAAGCCTTGTCACGACCACACACACACACACATGACAGGAAGGTGAAAGGTTGAGTTGTACTCACAGCAGGGTTTTATGGTGTCTGCATCAGCAGTGTAGTCATTAATTCTGCTTAAGTCCAGGCGTGTGTGCTGATGTCAGAGCAGACAGCCTGCAGGACTCTCCAGAGCCACAGCTGGAGCCTGACTTATGCAAACCAACAGGAAGTTTGGGCATTCCTCACTAATAAATCCTTAAAGTGAAAAGAAAAAAGCTTTTTAAAGCTGTAAGACCAAATGCAGATTTGATCAAACGTAAGTGAGGAATTATTTCAGTAAATAAAATGTGCTATTTATTGCTTTTTTGCCTTTGTTGTGGGAAACTATTTCTGTTCAGTTTTTTGCGATTAAAATCCACCTTAATTTCAAAAGCATATTTTTTCAAGTTATTTAAATCAAATGTATTCAAAACCAAATGTGCACACACCTTTAATTAATCTTTAAACACGTAAAATAGAATTTGGCACCATCTAGTGGCAAAGCTGCAGATTACAACCAAAATGAAACACCTCTGCTGCTGGAAAACTCTTAACATTTTTAAAAATTAAATTGTGTTATATTTGTTACTTTATCGTCTTAAATCTCTCACATGTGCTTCTATGAAAACACGTTTATTTGTATGACATTTTCCCAGATGTTTCCACCACACGGAGAGCCGTTAGGATTATTTAAAATAAATATTATTTCTTTATTTTTTCATCTTTGCAACTAGAGGAGTAAAATCAGTGCACGTGCAAATCTGTTGATTTAGTTTTCATAAAAATAGTTGCAAAAAGGATTTGATTAAACAGCTTTTTCTTTGCACTTTATTTAAAATACTGTTTTTATGACAGCTTCAGTGACACAATGTAAGAAAAACACTTTTATAAACGAGTCGCCATCTAGTGGCACAGTTGCAGATTGCAATAAAAAAAAGTCCTTTGCATGAGTAGAAAAGGGCATAAAATCTATGTTTTATAATTCAGTGCAAAAATAAACCCAACCATGTATATTCGGTAGCATTTCTGCTGAATAAATGTTTGAAAATTGCACATAAACCTTTAGTGTTCGTATATTTATACACAATTAAATGTAGAATGAGTCCGGCTCCACTAATGCATCTGTGAAGGACGTGATTAATCCTATTGTTACAAGGACAAAATAACAGAGCCTGAAGGAGGCAGCAGTCGAAGTTTTAATGTATCATGAGGCTAAAATACCTTTCAAAGTGTGGAAGAAAGGTTTTGCTTCCTCCTGTAGTCTCGGAGGCCTTTCCTCCGGGCTTTACCTTCATGCTGCTGAAAGAGAAACTTAAGGTTAACTAAATCACTGTGATTATGCCTGCCTCCTGAGCTGCTCTGCCTTGGAGAAACACACCAGGACTAAACACTACGGCAGCTGCTCGTGCCGACTCTGGCCCATTTGGGACTTATTAGGGAATTCAGCTGCTGTAGTGTTTACCTTCACACTCTACAGACTCTTTATTTTTGCTGTAGTTGGCTGAAGAAGAAAAAAACGGGAAGGCAGTCTGCAGGATCGTTTCCGGGTACATATGTAAAGGGAAGCCACGCGGTCCACTGGTAGTCCTGCAGACGCCGAGCTTCAGTTCTGCCCTGTTCCGGTCCAGCCAGGCGACCCAGCCGCTCCCCCAGGTTTGACACCACCCTCTCTGGCTCCTCTCTCCAGGTATGAGTGCTCTGCAGTTGCAGAACCTGGCCACTTTAGCAGCGGCGGCGGCGGCAGCCCAAAACTCGGCCAGCCCCTCCACCGCAAACCCCCTGTCGTCCAGCGCCGCCTCCCTGGGAGCGCTGGCCAGCCCAGGTAACGCCGCAGCCACTCCGGGTGGGGGGGGGGTCCGACACCTGCCTCCGCTCTCCACCGTCATCATCTCTGGTGTTGTCACCCGGCACGAACCCATCAACCGAGGCACCGCCACTGGTGTTCCTCTGGTGTGTGTGTTCATCTCATCACGCCTTCATTTACGAGTGACGCCACGCTGACGTGGACACCCTCCCCACCCCGTCCGTCGTGTGACCCATCCCACCGTGCTGTATACGTGTGTGCATGTTCCCGTGAGGTTCTGGTGTTTGTTTTCAGCCGTGTTTGCTCCTCGAGGCCCGTTTGGACCAGGCGCAGACGGCTTCGTCTGCTCCTGTGTGTGTCGATAACGTCCTGATCGTAGCTGTTGAGTGTAAAAAAAAAAACAACCACGTGTGAACCTGGCTCAGGTTAAACATGGCCACCTTCAGATTTCTCTCCACACATTGCTTCGTCCCGTCTCCCTCCTCCTCGTTACCCTCATCTCCTGCTGCTGCCCTGTTTTTGACAAGCTCTGTGTTCCTGCTCCACCATCCACCCCCACCTTGTCGGCTCGGCCTCGCTCCAACAGCACACTCTCACCAGAGCATGAATATGAAAACCCACCCCCCCTCTCTCCTCCTCCTCCTCCTCCTCGCGCCGCTCCATCCCACTTCCACTGCCCGTTCTTGTCTTGTCTCACCTGCTACTTCTCTGTCTTTCATCCCAGCCTCTTTTCTTGCTCTAAATGTCAGACCAACCTTCAATCGCACACACTCAGGCTGAGCTCCTGGGCGTGAATTAGTGGTGCTCTCCTGCATGTGTCAACGAAGCTGAAAACGTCACTCCAGTTTGATAAATATAGACCGTTCTGCATGGAAACAGGCCGCTGTCTTTGCTTTGCCCTGTGTGCTGACACAACACTCCCTCTGCCACGCCATCTCTTAATATTTTCAGCGGCAATCCTGCTTTGTGGGCAACGCTTTGATGAGATGAAGGGTAAATGAACAGATTAAATCTCTGTTTTTGTTTTTGTCTCAAAAGAAACGAGGTAGCACGCTCCGTCTCACCCACCATCGCCAGCATTGTTCTGTGTGTGTGTGTGTGTGTGTGTGTGTGTGTGATTTTCGTATTTAATGTGATTATTTGGATTAGAAACTCACCTAAAACAAACTTTATGGGAACAATGTGATTTAGTCGCTGAAGAATGATCCCAAAGCTTAAATAAAGGTAAATGAGGAACGTCGTTGAGTGTTGTGGCTGATATCGTCCTCTTGCTCTTTGTGTACTTCATGTCTGCTGCTCCGCTCCGCTGCTGCCACGCTTCACTTGTAACCACCATATCATTTTGCATGTAGAGTTGCAAACTTGCAGCATTTTGTGAATGGAAATGAAAACCAAAGGTGCTACTTGTATACTTTTAAGCATCAGTGAGCTTATAGATTGACTAGGGTGAACCTTCTCAGAGCTGTTTACAGAAGCGTGTCTTTTGTTTTTAATAAGCTCTGTCTTCTCCATCCCCAGTGAGTGGTGGTGGATGGCTGCTTATATACCGAGCCAGGATCCTCAGGAGGTTTCTTCCTGTTAAAAGGGAGTTTTCCTCTCCACTGTCACCGCATGCTTGCTTAGCATGTGGATTGCTGTAAAGACACTGACCCCGGTTTCACACTGACAACATCAGCGGAGCGGCTCACTCGCGAACTTCGAAGCGGTCCTTTTCGCACTGGGAGAGTCTTGGCTGTGGCACGGCTTCCTCGCTGCGCCTCGCTGTACTCGCGAGATTCTAAAATCCCTCGAGACTTCCGACGCCCTCCTCGCGAGACAACGAATTCCCTCGAGATTACCGCCATCCTTCTTCATCGAGAGATCACAACCCCCGCGAGGAATCACACCGCTGCACTTCTCTAAAAGAAACTGGTGGTAAACAAAGCCGCTCGGTCACACGCGCTGACGCAAGTTATGTACAACATCGCAACGTTGCATTTTATTTTGAAAATAAACGGGGATTTTACACTGAAACCGTGTGCGGTTTCCTGTCCCGCTCTATGTGAACTGCGGACATTGACGTGTCCCAGAAGCGGCTTGCGGGAAAAATAGAACTCGATCCTATCTTTAGCGGCGCTACATGCCGCTTCTGGGACGCGCCTGGAAATTTGCCGCGTCGCGGCTGGTTTGAAACACTCCATAGACTAAAACTGGATTCTATTTGAAGCGGTGCCGCTTCGCCGCCGCTCCGTTCCACTGCTGCTTGCAGTGTCGAACCGGGGTGACACTAGTCAGTGACTCGATGTGACCTGCTGGGTTCCTTATATAGGAAACGTGTTACTGATTGGCTTAATGACCTGACCTGTACTGGAATGTTTACTGTGTGAAGGTCCTTGCGACGACTCTTGTCGTGATTTGGCGCTTTAGAAATAAACTGAATTAAACTGAAAAAGGACTCTGAAAGTGCGTCCGTCTCCACTAGCAGCCATCCCATCCACCCACACACACACATGGACGTAATTTTGGGGGGGGGACAGGGGGGACACGTCCTCCCCACTTTTTCCAAAGTCAAGGTTTGACCCCTGCACTTTTTACCATCCAAAAACAATAATACGCTATATTAAATTGACACTGGTTGAGCTCTAGGACCAAGCGGAAAACAACAGTTTGTGTTGAAGCCTGTTTCCCATTAGAGCATACTGTAAAGATACCACCCCCCCACCACCACCCCCCACTTCTAAAGTGAAAATAACGTCCATGCACACACACACACACACACACACGCTTACAGCTGAGTGTGTTAGAACATCATGTCCGAACAAACGGCAGGGTGAGAATTACGTGATTTAGTTGAAGTCGACACCTGGGATAAAAACTATCTGAGGTGTCTGTTTTAGTTTGAGATGTGCCAGTATTTAGAAAGATGGGGCGGGGCTTAAAACTGGTGGCGCTGCGAACCACCGGGGGGCACTTCTGCTGATGGCGTTTAAGAAATCACTCAAAATGTTTCTAATAAAGCGAGGAGGGAAGGAAACCAGCGAGCCTGGTTTGTTTACGGTTTTGTGTTTTTTTACTGATGCTGAATGACTACACGAAGCACCTGAAGTCCTATAGCTGCAGGAAAGCCTCTACCTGCAAACGCTGTGAACTGAATGTTTTGTATAACAATGCACTTCTTTTGTCTCCTGCTCTCCCCTCTTCACCTCCATCCTCACCCCTTGTTTTTGTGTTTACTCTCTCCACCCCCTCCACCCCTCCCCCCCCCCTCTTCCTCCTGCAGCAGGCACCACAGCAAGCTCCAACGCTGGCGCCATGAACTCACTGACCTCTCTGGGCACCCTGCAGGGCCTGGCGGGTGCAACTGTGGGCTTGAACAACATTAATGCACTAGCAGGTAGCATCAACAGTGAGTATTCACCCTGCCATCAGCATCTCCACCCCCCAGCCACTCCGCCACCAGCAGCGAGTCCGAGCAGAGAGAACTAAACTTTCACCTCCGCCGCTCGTGTTTTGTCATTTTCATGTGACGAATTCAGCCATGAATTATTCATTCTGGCACGCAAACTCAATTTGGATCCATCGCAATTTCTCATCTGAGCAATTTGTCGTGAAATGAAAACATCAAAAACACACGTGAACTTGAAGGAATGAGGTTATAAATCAGTCGATCAATCATTCCAGTGTTTGGGTCTCTCTGTTAACTCAGAGGTTTCTAATGTTTTTATGAGACCGCTTCCTCATTTATTCATCTGACCACAGATCCATCCACCCAACCATGCATCCCATCTGCTTCCTGGTTGCATCCCGGGATGTGCTTGCGGTTAGGGTGCTGATGTTGCGTCCCAGCAGAGTCGGCTGGTGGTGTTCTGTCACATGTTGGTGTCGCGTTCTCTGTTGCCTCTGATTTGGGAAAAGGTCAAAAACAGCAGCTAGTTTCAGACCATTCCAGTCTCTCAATGTGAACCTTTAGTCTTTAAAATCTTTATAAATTGTCATGAAAACTAAATTAAATATTTTTCTTTGAGGTAAAAAGATATGAAATTTTACTAAATTAAATGCAGTCTTAAAGCTACAATGACAAATCTGCAAAACAAGCTAGCTTAAAACATGTTTTCATGCTTCTTAAAGAGCAAGTCACCCCCAAATCTACTTTTTTTTCTGATAAACTATAAACGCGTGTCTAATCGTGCTGCAGACACGTGTAGTCAATAGTTTTGCACTTTAGTGCATTTTAGTTAAAATTTACATTTTCTGCCTAGAACTGTCAGTGTTGTGCCGTTGTCAGGTAAAAACTCTGCATTTGAATTTAAATCTGCCATCGCTATTGGCTAAGAGGTACCCTAGAACGTTAGCTGGTACCATATGATGTCACAATGTCGTGGTGAGCCTGTGTGTGTATTTGTTAGCGGCTCCGCCCTCTCGGTCTGCAAGGCAACAGCATTTGTTGCATTTTTCAAACAGGAAGTGGGAGTGGAGTAAGAATCTGGTAGGGGTGACTTGCTCTTTAACAACGTTCTTACATCACATAGCTATAAAAATGAAAAATAAAATAATAAAGTGGTTCTCTTGCATTTTACTCAAAACCTCCACCAATAAGATGATTCAGACTAAAACCAACTATCGGACCATGCGGTTGTTGGCCTTGCCAAACCCTCACCCACCCCTGGGTCCTCCACTCATCACACACTCACGCCTTTAGCAACAGACCACCTCTGGTGTGAGAGGTTCTCCGTTCAATAATACCAGAGAAGGAGAAACAGCCGGCTGCTACCACTTCAGCTTTTGGACGAACTACCAGAGTCCCAAAAAGAAAAACACAGTTTGAAATCACGGACAACTAAAGATGTTTGGACCTGAACGGCGACCGGTCTTTAGTGCTACCTCGTTTCCTCTGGTGATGTGGGTTCTCCTTTCAGGGGAGCGTGGCCTAGGGATGATAGCTTGAAGCTAGCTTGTTCTGCAGATTTGCCACTGCAGCTTTAAAGAGCAAGTCAACCCCTACCAGAGTGTAACTCCACTCCCACTTCATGTTTGAAAAATGCAACACATGCTGTTGCCTGGCAGACCGAGAGGGCGGAGCCGCTAACAAATTCACACACACTCAGGCTCACGACAGCACTGTGACATCATAATGTACCAGTTTACATCATAGCATACTTCTTAGCCAATAGCGGTGGCAGATTTAAATTAAAATACAGTGCAGTTTTTACCTGACAACCGCACAACACTGCCAGTTTTAGGCAGAATATTTAAATTTGAACTAAAATGCACTGAAGTGCCAAATTATTGACGACACGTGTCTGCAGCACGATTAGACACTCGTTTATTTAGTTTATCAGCAAAAAAAAGTTTATTTGGGGGTGACTTGCTCTTTAAAATCAAACATAATATCATAAAAAATAAAAAACCGGGTTTAGCAGCAGCAACTCATCTTCTGTTGGACTTCATTGGTCGCTTCACTCTTCTTTGCCACGGTGCGTCAGCTCACGGACATGTGCGAATCTCCAGCCCTGTAGGTCCCACTACAGGATTTCACCAGTTGAGATCTTGACTCTGATGCTGCAGAACTTTGCAGCCGTTGTTCGGGATTGTCGCCCCGTTTTGGACCAAGCTTGTGTTGTGGGACAGCCAGTTCATGCTGGAGCATTTTGGCCTCGCTCAAACCATCGACTGTCCACCACCGTGCTGGCTGCTGGGATCAGGGTTGGTTCCCTGTAGATGTGGTTGAATCAGGCACACGTACATATTTCTATCTACATGTTTATGATTTCAAACATGCCTTCTGTGTGTTCCGCCGCCCCCTTCGAGCCGAGCGGTGCGTGTCCCGGTTCTGACCTCTGAGGAGATGGGTCTGGGAGCTTAATCAGAGCTGTTATGACAGCAGAGATCCTGTACCACCGGCCTCTTCCACCACATTATTCTCCTCTGACCTTTACCGCTCCCCGGCTGAAGTAGCTGTATCCGCCTCCGTGTATATCACACATGCCTCTGCTTGAGCGCAGGACACACACACACACACACACACATGCGCGTTCATCCCTTTAAACCGGACCAGTCGCTTCCGTTTTGCATCCTATTTTGTCCGAGCGTCCCCCTCACCCCTCCGTCCTCTTCCCTCCGCCTCCAAACACCCTCATTTAAACACATCTAGGCCTTAATTGAATTGCAAAGGTCACCGGTGCAATTATTCCTGAATAAATGAGCGACCTATAATCCGGAGCGCTGCGGTGATAATTTATTTCACTGTGTCTGACGGTGAGACGACAGGACGCCGGTCCGTGTCAGACCTCCTCAGACACGTGCCCTCCGCCGTGATATTAAGCCGTTACAAGCAGCTAATGAGTGTTACTGCTGCGTCCCTTCACTTTTTAAACTCCCCCCTCGCCGCCTCCACGCTTAAAGAGAGACGTCACAGATGGGAAAAACAACGATGATCACAGCTCGCTGTCTGCTGTGGTCGGGCAAACGTTAATGTGCTGCTGAAGTTCTGCGATTGGCTCGTTTGCTCCTGAAATCAGGTTTGGCTGCAAGTTCAGCGAGTCAGAAAACCTCATAGGGCCAGACTAATTCCTGCTCTAATTCCTAAACAGAGATAAAAAAATTATTCTGTACAAATATTACATAGCTATTCATGATTTCTAGCATAAATGACTTTGGCGCGAATACAGATTATTATTTATTTGTTTCTGTAGTTTTAAACACAGACGCTTTCTGTGTGTCTCTTTTCAACGTGTCTTTATTTAATGTTTTTCTATGTGCTCAAATTTATTTTAAAGCCATTTTTTTAAATGTGTGTTTTACAACGTATGGAATGCCATTTTAGTCAATAAGTCCTTACAAATGATCAAATATGCTGTAGGTAGTGTAAAAATATGGGAGGAAACTCCTTCTGCTCTGCTTGAATTTATTCTTGATGTTTTATTCTGAAGTTATTTTATATCAATGAAATTTGTGTTGTTGTTTTTTTCTTATTGACATGAATGGCATTCCACACTCTTGTGGTGGTTAGCGTTTTCTAAGTAGTCTTGTCTTGTGTTTCTGGTTCGTGGTCCGGTAAACGCTGATGTTGTGATGCGTTTGCGGCGCTTTTCTCTCAGGTTGCGGCTCCGGCTGTCATCCGCTAAACTCATAAAGCACTTTGATGTTTGTGACCGTGATCTGTGTGCGTCCTGAAGTCTAGCGTTTCGTCTTGGTGTCTTCTCAGTGTGTGTGTGTGTGTGTGTGTGTGTGTGTGTGTGTGTGTGTGTGTGTGTGTGTGTGTGTGTGTGTGTGTGTGTGTGTGTGTGTGTGTGGATAAAACACAACCTTCAGTGGGAGCGCTAATGAGTAAGTGCATTCTTCTTTCTTTATTGTTGGGTTTTATGTAAAGTTGCTCAAATGCTCTCAGGTATGGCGGCTCTAAACGGAGGCCTGGGAGGAGCCGGGCTAACCAACGGTACGGCAGGTACTATGGACGCGCTGACGCAGGCTTACTCAGGGATCCAGCAGTACGCCGCCGCAGCTCTGCCCACCCTCTACAGCCAGTCCCTGCTGCAGCAGCAGGGGGCCGCCGGCAGCCAGAAAGAGGGTCAGTAGCCTGGGGGGGGGGGGGGGGGGGGGGGGGGGGGGGGGGGGGGGTCTGCCAGTTTAAACATCTTCAGGAGGTGAAACTACAACTTTGTTGCAATCATAGCGACTCAGACCCGTAGGCAACCACGTAAAATGCATGCTTGCTTGTCCAGGGCTACGTCCCAGAATGCACAGGATCTTTGTTGACATCTTTGAGCGCGAGCACAAGTGGTTAAACTACACAGGATAGCCTGCTGTCGAGGTGTAATGAACAGATCCCAAATCTATGAACACTCTAACGTCTGAAGACAGGTGGATTTTCAGAGAGGGGCTTAACTCTGCATTCATGACTAAACTGAATTAGTTCGAAGCCGGTACGAGCTCTAGGAAGACGAAAACCGTTGGTCCGATTTGCTGAAGTCTTATCCACAAATCTGCCGGTGAGACTTTTAACAGAAAGCTCTGGACGCTTCGCTCGTGAAAAATTAACGGCTTTCGAAACTCTGGAGGCCTGCGATTGTTTTGCTTGGAGGAAAGTTGGGCCGATCTGTTCGTCACAACAGAGAGCCGCGGTTGAGCTGGAGGTAGAAGTCGGACCTGGCCAGCAGAGTGTCGGCCGTTGGTGAACGCTGAAGAGAACGGCCAAACCCTCACAGCGACTGCAGAGCCGGGTAGGTCTTCATCGATGAGTCTCTATTCCTTTACTCGTTTATTTATTTTAGGACATTTTCACAGTTTGGGACACCTGAATGAGAAAGCAAAAGCACGACTTTGATCAAGTTTTTAAAAACCGCTTCTCTAAATAGTCTCAAGGACTTACCACGGACAAAACGAGCCTCACCAACTGCCTGTTTCTGCAGGAATCCAGCCGCCTTCGGCGAGTCCGGGTCGCCCGCAACCATCTCTTTCATATTTTGCGGTTCTTTACGGAGGGAATTCCAAGACGACGCTTTCTAAAGCCCCCAGCGGACCGTACAATCGACCGCACGTCAAGGCCGAACCATCAGCTTAACCCTCCTCCAAACGTGCAAACGCGATTTCTTGCCACTCGCGAGAAACATTAATGTCACTAAAGATCCTCCTATTAGGAGCAGCAGGTACAGTTGTACCAGCCCTCGTTTAGATTTTAATTTATTCTCCCAATTCAGGTGAATGGAATACAAAAGAAACACCCAAATTAAACTAAATGTAAATAAATCACAACACAGATGTCGACTTTTTCAAGTAAAGAGATGAAATCGGGACGATGCACGAGTATTTTCTTCTCAAATGTCCTAAATGCATAAATTTAAGTTTCATTTCAAGAATGGGACAATTCCTAAAACACAATCTCACATTACCTGGTAAAAGCATTTTAATGTCATCTGGTTTTATGGAGAATCACAACCTAATTATTACTTTATTCTCACCTAACCTCTGAAACATCATCCTGGTCTGACTGAATCTGTGCTAACAACCTGCCGTTTTGAGGCAAATTTACCCAAAAGCCTCATCCAGCACCACTGAATACAGATCAGATGATGAAATGTGCAGTAAAACAAACACAGCTGCGTGCTTTTTGTTGCACGTCTCATCTCTGCTTCCAGCTCAGGATGAATTTGTAAAGAAGCTTTCTTTCTGTATTCGACAGTTCGTCCAGGAGTTCAAACCCCTCCAGGAGAAACGCTTTGCTCCCTCTCGGCTGTTTTTAGCTGTGGAGAGCGCGTATGAAATGGTTGTGAGAGATCTGACCTACACCCGTTACTATTAGCATGTGTGAGAGGGAGAGGGTGGAGAAGCAACCTGTGACCCCACCTGAAGAGGGACAGCACAGAGCTGAAAGGAGGAATTAAAAGCAGCAGTTCAGGGAACGCCTTTTGTTTGCAGCAAAGCAAAATATGATTAATAAATGAAAACCAAATGCTTTCATCTCCTTTGAATTTCTACGTTGTTTAAAAGCAGCAGCAAACCCAAGGTCACCAGACATTGTGCTAAAGCGGTGAGCTTCGTTCCTATGACGACAGCACGGCAGTGTCAGCCTCCACGTTGTTAGCGCTCCGTCTCCTGCTGCTTTACTTCAACGTATTATAAACTCTGACTATCATCCCACCAGGTCCCGAAGGTGCCAACCTCTTCATCTACCACCTGCCCCAGGAGTTTGGAGACCAGGACTTGCTGCAGATGTTCATGCCTTTTGGAAACGTGGTCTCTGCCAAAGTCTTCATCGACAAACAGACAAACCTTAGCAAGTGCTTCGGTAGGATTAGCTTCCATAAGCTAACCTGAGATCATTTCTTCTTCTTTTTTCTGATTAGCTAAGTCTCAAAACAAGATTTTAGCTGTCAACCCCTTATTTGCAAAATAGAAACTAATAAAGCATAAAAGTTTGGTCAAAAAATTCCCAAAATTAACAATTCTTGTATTTCCAAAAATTAAAAACAGGCCAGGTTTGATTTAAAAGGGGCTCGTTTGTGTTAATGAAGACTTTTCCACAAGAGTTGGGACTTTTATCCCTTTTCCTGACAGTAACTGGAGCGTAAATGCAATAATTTTTATTTGCATAAACGGACAAGATGCATGAGAGGCTTCAGATCTGCACAGCTTCAACAGCAAGGAGAAACTGAAGCGTGCACAGAAGAGGTGACAAACTCTTCTGCTTGTCAGGAAACAAATTCTGATTATAAAGACAAGATTTTACTCACTTTGAGTGTTTATTTGACTCAAATATTTGATTAGTTATGAAGATCAATATGTGCTATTTGGTAATTAAAGAGATACTTTGCAATTTTTTCATATGTTTAAATCATTTTCTTGGGCCAGTATGTGCTAAAATGACCCTTCACAGGGTTAATGAAAGGCCACCTAGCCCCATCCTCCTGTGGCCAGAATATCGCACTTGCAGCTTCACAGTTACAGGTCCAATCAGCTGGACACCAGCTACATTTGCTGACCTACCTGGTGCTACAGTCTGCTTCCAGCAGGTTTCCTACATGTTTTAGATCGGAACACAGCTGATTTGTTTAATTTAGTGATGAGCCACTCCTGTAGACACCAAGGAAGGATGGGAGACAGTTCAGCTGTTAGATTAAGGTGTTAAAAAGACAAATGCACAGCAAAATAGTCCATTTTGCTTTTGGTTTTACAAACAGACACCAGGGGGTGCTAAAAGCAAGCCTCAACTGCCTAGTCTCCCTTTAAAGGTGCATTATGTAAGAATGAAATGATATGCTATAAAATTTATATCCTGTGGTCAAAACTGGTTACTGCAGCCCATTTTCCAAACATACGTACCTCTTTTAAAAAAGAAAAACTGGCAACCCCCAGCTGGCTGAGAAGGAAATCTGATTCAATGAAACCTTTAGACTGTTTTGTGATTATTTCACCGTAAAATGCCTACATATTGATCCCTCAAGATTAACAAACTGAAATTTAGCTATTGCTAATTAAATCAATTTTGGAGGTCATTTTGATTTATAGCCCATTGACCTGAATTGATTTAAAATAAAGGCAAAAACCGTAAATTCTGCAAATGGTTTAATTTCTTGCACAGTTTTGATGGCTTATTGCAGACCAATTGTTTTATGTTCTAAAACTAAATGACTAAAAAACTAAAATGTTACCTCTCACCAAACTATATCCAGTGTTTTGATTTAAATAGGACTGACTGAGACCTGAAGCTCATACGGATTTTATAAATATAAATAAATACACAGCCCAAAAGTCACCACCAAAGAAAAGGTCACGCACTCTCTTGTTTAGTTGGACCTGCTTTAGCTTCGACTACGACACACATTCGCTGTGGCATCGTTTCGATAAGCTTCTGCAACGCCACCAGATGTATTTAGATGTAATTATCCAATAGGAGCCTCCTACCTGTTTGCTTAGTTGTTGAATATGAGAGAAGGCAAATGTTTCTAGTTCACCTCAGTTCAGTCTGATTGGGGCAGTGGTGCCCCTTCTCATTTCATAGAATTAAACGCGGGTTTATTGCCACCCACTTTGCCTCCTCTCAGCTATCTGTTGCAGATGGTCAATCTCTCCGGTGGCCATTAGTGACTTAGTAAACTGTATTTCTCTCAGCCGTATGTAAACTTTGTCCATACTTGATGGCAGCTTCCTGTCAGGTTCCTCAGTGTGCTCGGTAGGGCTGCTCGATTATGGCAAAAATAATAATCACGATTATGGTGACTGAAATTGAGATCTCGATAATTTAAGACGGTTTTTCAATTAATGTTGATTTTATTTGTTTTTATTCAGTCATAAAATTGCTCGGGGCACAATCGGGACAAAAATAAATAAGAAACAAGATGATCACTAAAATAACTCCTGATTCCCAGTATAAAAAGACCAATATACTTATAGCTCATAGTTTATGACCCAAGGGCTATAGACATTGGTTTAACTCATTTAAGTCTAACCAGTACAGACCCAAATACCAATATCTTGCAAATACTGACAGCAAGAATTATACAGTGGCATTTATAACAAATACATTCAAATAAATTGATGTTCACAAAATGTTGCATAATATTTATCAAGTCACGTCAAGGTGCTGTAGGAGAGTGCACTAGCACCGTGTTCTCAGAGAGATTAGTTATTATTTATCAGCGTGAGGAACTTATTTCTATTTCTACCATATTTATAAACTATTTATTTACAAGTCCATCAGTTAATGTAATAAATGTCCCAACCACAGCTCCACCCCCCACCCCCCAACCCGGTTTCACAGCAATCAGGGGCAAGCTCCACATGTGTTTAGCGTGCCACACGCGCACATTTAGCTGTTTTAGCGCCTCAGGAGTCCGCAGTTACGGTTAACTCTGGTTGATCCAACAGGAAGCCGGCTCTGAGAGCCGTTTCTTTAGCGACCGACACATCACTACATCATTCCCTTTCCTAATGTCCTGAAGAACGGTCCGGAGCGCAGGCGGAGTTTTTAGCTAACCTGCAGGAAATGTCAACAACAGTTATCCAGAAAGCAGCTAAGGGTTCCCAGAGATGTTTCTGAGGTGTTCGCTAGGTACTTTTAAGATTTAAAAAGTCAAGAAGGGGGTCTGAAAAGCTGTTAGAAATAGCATCAAAGTTGCTAAGTTGGCAACACTGTGGGAGGAGCGCTTCATTTGTAACTCAGGGCAGCGCAAGTGGGAGGAGCAAATAATTCGCTTGTTTTGTTTTTATAATCGTTCAAAACTCAGATCGTAATTGGTTTTAAAATTCGATGAATTGAGCAGCCCTAGTGCTTGGTTTTCACTTTTTCTGTCAATCATTTTTCCAACCAACCATCAAATGTTCTCCCTTTGTTTTACAGGCTTCGTCAGCTATGACAATCCAGTGTCAGCACAGGCAGCCATCCAGGCCATGAATGGCTTCCAGATTGGCATGAAGCGCCTCAAAGTTCAGCTGAAGCGATCCAAGAACGACAGCAAACCGTACTGATCTTAGCACTAGGGTCTATCTGCTCCCCCTGTTAGCACTGCTAGGGTAAGTCCCCCTCCCCCATAAAAGAAGAAGAACGAATGATAAAAAGAGAAAAAAAAATACCATCTTGAAACCGAGCCAGGGCTCTAAACGGGGCCTGGGGGGGGGGTTGAGGTGGGTTTGAAAGATGGGATTGTGAGAGGGAGGGGGAGACGACCTACAACCACCCAGAGGGAGACAGTTTTTTTCTTGTTTCTTTAACTTTCAAGTATTATTATTTATTACAGTTTTATTTTTTTAGACACACATGAACTCTTCCATTTCTCCATTTTTGTGCATTTTTTTCCTATACAAATAGATTTATCTAGAAATAGATATAGATAGATCGAAAGATAACGGAAATAGCTATTGGGCTAGCTAGTAGCTGGCTTTTTTTAAAAGTATTTGTTAAAACATATTTTATTCGTTTACAGTGATTATTTATACAGAGTAGCAGAACAAAGATAAAGACAACAGAGCCATGATCTTTTTGTTTTGTTTCTATCTTTTGTTGTTTTTGAACCGGTTGGTGAAGGGTTCCATTTAACTTTCTTTTTTTTTTTTTTTTTAAAGAAAAACTCCGCACGCCGATATGCACATTCGCCCTTTGACCTCCGCGGTGTTGGTTGCAGGTCGCCGCTGCTTCTCCAAACCCCCTCTATGCCTGCTAGCAACCCGGGAGCAAAGGCTGCAAAACGTTGCCTCTTTACCGTAAAATCCGACTGCCGTTACACACTACCACCACAAGAACACGAAAATCACACACTCCAGCTACGTCTTATCATTTATGTACAAAAGAAAAAAGTTTTAAGGGTAAATCATTTTCTGGGAATGCATTGGTTTTTGTTTAGAACACGACATTACAGCATGTACAGTATTTTCCAAAAACAGCATCCTGAATTAGATGAAGGGAGTACTTGTTGTAAAAGAGTTTATGGGGTTCACTGAAAATACTTGATGTTTGTTGAAAGACTTAAAAAAAATAGTAATTCACAGTACAGAAGAGCCACAGGCTTGTAATTTTTATTTGTAAAAAAAGCAGTTCTATTTTTATACGACATTTTTACTGCCTCAGATGAAGAAAAAAGATTTTATTTATTGCCTATCGTTTAGTTATTGGACTCCGATTAAGTATCGTTAAAGTCGACCCTTGTGGAAAAGCCTCGTGGAACTGGGTTCTCCGGTGTTTTGGGTTGTTTTTGTTTCATTTCTTTTCCAGTGAACAAACCACAACTACGATACTTTTTTCGTTTTTCGAACTGCGACACTCCCCCCCTCCCACACACACACACACACAAACCCCCACTCGTCACGTTTTTTGTGCCGTCCGTCCATCCATCTATCCATCCATCCATCCATCCATCCATCTCTCTTTTCACAACTCTCCCTCTATTCATACACATCCAGACTACTTCTTCGCTTGTTGAATTTCTACTTTTTTTGCTGCATATTTTTATGTTGTTTTATGTGTTTTTTGTTTGTCCGTCGCCCCCTTATGTTTACCCTTTTCAAAAAAAATTTAAACGATTAGAAAGTTAAACGATCCCGCTCGTATTTACGCCCCAAAAAAATTGTTTCCCAAACGACAACATCCATCTGGGGTCTGATGGATAAAGCTTTGGGTGCTCTCTGTTTTTTGTGTATATGTTAATGGTGAGTGTGTGTTGTTGCCTGTTAGTGAAGTTAATATTCGGATAATTTTCTAATCTGTAAAGAAATAAAATCAAAGCTAAGGAAAGCTAATTGACATAGCGTGTGGAGTTGCTGTTCTGCCGGTTCGCATTCTTGTTTGTTGTTGTTGTTTGTTGTTTCTCCTGATTTGTTTTATCTTTTGTTTTCAGGGAAAATGTTGTGTTGTGGTGCTCTGGCTCCTTGTGTGTAACTTTCTCCTCTTCCCTGTTTTTCTTTTCCCCTTTTAGAACAACCCATCTCCATGCCTGTTAGCTCATCGTTTGCCTAGCATGTCTACGTGGCGTCAAAATTTTTTTAACAAAACAAAAAATATCCACCGAAAAAAGTGTCATGGTCCTCTTCCTCCTACCCCGTCATTATTTTTGATGTCTTTTCCAAGCTCACCTGATCATAACCTGGTTCTCCTCCTCCGCCGCTGCCTACTGACCTTTTGAACTTTTAGGTTTTTTGGACTTTTATGATTTTTTTTTCTTACTTTTTTTGTGTTTCTTTTTATTTTTTGCATGTGACCTCATTTGGATCTGTTATCTGGGAGGGTTTCAGGGAGGGAGGCAATAAAGGAGATGTGGGCAAGAAAAATGAATCAATGTGAAAAACATAAAAAGCTGCATTCATATAAAGACTGAAATTTTTATGGAAAAAACATGTCCTTTTTGAAAAAAATAACCTGTGGCATAACAATTTCCTTTGAATTTCTTGCAGTTTTTCATTCTTTCTGTAATTTTTTTTTATTATTCATTTTAAGTAAACTTGAAAGTTCACTACAGAAATTGGTGCGCCATCTTGCTTCTGTTTGCTGATAAAAACCAGAACCAGAAGCGGTCCGTGCCGGTTTCTCAGAGAAATAAGACTACTTCCAAACAGTTTTGAAAAAAAACTGTCTGATCAACATTAGACTCTCTCAGAGCTCTGTAATGGTTTTTACATTTTTCAGGCAGTGTAAAGTTTTTTGATAAGGCCATTTTAAGTGGCTCTGTTTCTCATTCAAAGTCTATATATAGAACCACTTTTTCTAGAGTAGTTTAAAGGTTAAAAAATTACAAAAAAAGAGACATTTGCCCTGTTTGGGGGGAGAAATGCTACCTACTTGTCACCTTTTGCTGAACTGACTCACAGATAGACAATCCGTGGTTTAAATGCACATGATGAAATGACCTATATTTTCTACTGTTTAACTGTATAGAGGAAAAAAATTATGATTACCTGTAACCCGCGTTAACGTCGGTGCTTCTTGTGAGTTTAGTTGTGGTTTCATCACGAGTCCAATGGTCTTAAATGTCTCATGTTTTTCAAGAGAAGACTAAAAAAATCAGTTTACTTGAACAATAGACAAAGCCTTTGATATTACTATAATCGTTTTTTGTTTTTCTTTTTTTATTTTAAGGAGTCCCTATTTGCTAAGTTTCTTGTTGGTTAATTAGCTATATAAAATTCCTAAAAATATATATAAATATAAATATATCTATATATATCTATATATATATAACGTCAGCTTGTGAAGCATCAATGTCATTATTTTATTTTCTCTCGTGGGAAACAATATTTAGATGTGTTTTGTTGTTTGGCAAAATGTCTTATAAAGAAAAAAAGACGAGATCAGTGGAGTTTAGTGCCAAATTCTGAAGGTACTTCCTGCCTAGCGCGTCAGTGTATTTCTTGTGAAATTATTTGATAACATGGGTATTTTATTATAAGTGTTTTGTATGGATCCCTCATATTTAAAATATAGATTTAAAAAAGAGTTTGTTAACTTGCTATTCTGTGGTCTTGTTGCCTGAAAATGTCATGTTTTCTCTTTTCTTTGTAAAGATGTAAAGAAGTGCCCATGTGTCATATATATTTGTGTGTATATATATATATATATATATATATATATATACACACACACACACACACATATTCACATATATATGAATATATCTATAAACACACACATATGCACACATGGACACACAAACACTCTCTTGCAGACCTCAGTTTACTTTTTCAATGTGCGTGAGAGCCCCTGAGCGTGAAAGCCTCTTCAGCAACTGCTACCGCCCGCTAGCGTGCACACACAGGCACACACACTGATATTTCTCAACCGTTTCATTCATCAAAGCCTTACCATGAATCTTTGCACTCCTGGCCTTTTTCATTAAGCATCTCGCACACAGAAGGTTTCAGCAAGTCTTGTATTTTGTTTTCTCCACAAGAGCGTATAGCTGTCGCACTTTCAAAATAAAATCCAGCCGCACCAAGTTTTAACGTGGTATTTTTATTCAATGTTTTATTTTTCAACTTATTACAGTATATTCTTCATGCTCAACTGAAAACAAAATGTTGATGTTTGGATATTAACAATTATATTGTAATATAATCAGTTTGTATTTTGTAATAAGAATAAAATAACTGTGAAAAATATCTTGTAAAAACGTGAAAATATCACATCAAACCATTAAAAAGATATTTCTTGAACAATAAATGTGTCACATTATGAATCGATATGGCTGGGTTTTATTTTGAAAGGGTAGTAATACACTTCCTGTTTCTCAGCTGAAAAGAAGAAAAAGAAATTAGAGTTGAAGCCTTATTCCTCTAAATCCTCTTCTTCCTTTTTAAAATATTCCAAACGTTTTTCTAGTTTCTGATTGGTGGGGCGTTCATGATGTAAGCACGGGGCAAGACTAGCTCAATCAGCCTCGACGCTTTGAGGAAGAAGCACACGTCGCGGGACGGTCCAGTCCAGACATTGCTGCTGAAGTTCTTTATTTTATTGTAGTGGCGCTCGTAAGACTTCTCCATTATGTAAGTCTTGTTTGTAATGGGCCAAAATCATGTATCGATGCCAAAGTGTGTTCCAGACCTTCACAGACGAGCCGTTTACATGGCACAGTGTTGGTGTGAGTTTATCTGCTGCCCCCTTGGCCCCCTCCCTGATATCCACGTTTACGTCTGCAAAAACAAAGAGGCAGCATTGTTTTCTACAGAAGCTCACCAGTCACCTTAACCAGGGAGAGGTGCACCAGTATTAAAAGAGTAGAAAATGTTGTCAGTCAACGATGTGTGCCAAGTCTAGATTTAGTCACGCGTGCAATTAACCTCACACTTCCGCCATTTCGTCCGGAGCAGAAAGACAAAGAGAAATCGAAGGTTTGAGGGATGCCACTCCGCCAGGCAGGCTGAGGTTATTAGAAACGGGGCCCGCTTGGAGAAGCATCTTATTGGAATAGCGACAGGGGAAATAAAGCGCTTGTTGGCTTGAGAGGAAGAGGTCACGCCTGTTGGTCCGCACAGGAAAAACAACAGCCAGAGCAAAGATGAAGGCAATACAGCTTTCATTAGATCCTCTCAAACACCAAACGTTTTCTGGTTTTTCTGCGAGCGGCCACAAACGGACATACCTACGTGTTCGACAGCTGGAAAGTCCAATTAATGGACCAGCTTGTGTACCAATGCAGTGCTGAAATCTTTGCATCAGAGAACTAAAACTGCACGTTTCACACCCTCACTCGTCTCTGCACCGTTTTTCGTTACATGACTCAGCATTCTGTGCTGTTCAAAGTACACGGCTGTTTGCGTGACAAACAAAAGAGCGGCCCGTGTTGCGAGTTGCCGAATTGCACTGCCTTGCTCACAGCCCGACGTTGCACAGTTAAAACGTGAAGCATCTCGTCGTCATTTCAGCGTCGAAGCACAAGAGGGTTGTTAGAAGCAGAGCTTCTGTGGAGCAGCTCACCTCGGGGGCTGTCATCGCCTATGCTCGTTGTAATCTTTCTATCTCGTCACTGTTCACTTCTCTGTTTTCCTTCTTTCTTATTTATCTTAAGTGCTATTTATCAAATAACGAAATACGAAAGGACAAAAAAAATCTAAACTCGTTGTTTCTTTGCATTATGGCTTATGTCGAGTTTTTGGAGGAACAATGTTTTGTGTGTTCTCTCTTTCTGTGGTGTACGAAAAAGAGCTTGTTGTCTGTAAAAAACAAAAGGAAAAAAAAAGAAAAATCTGATTTTGTTGTTGCTGTTGTTCTTTTTTTTAATTCTCTAAAAGGATTTTAGCATTTTCAGAGTTATTGTCTTGAGAGAAGCCAAAGTCAATGCATTTCAGTGGATCCTGTAAGCGTGATGTATGTTTGTTCGACAACACTTGGAAATTTGTCACTGGATAGGATTTAAAAGTACAAAAAATGCAGGCTTTCCTATTTCTACAACTGATTGTACTTATGCATTTTGTACCAGTGGAATTTTTATACTGGAGATTAAAGGATACAACAAAAACTCTTAGAAAACGAGTTGTCTGGCCTGGTGGTGTGGCCTGACCCTGACTGGTCCTGAGTATGATTTCTAGCTGGCATCATGAAAGTTGGCTTTTGATATAAGATTTTCTAAAAGATCTTTGGCTTTATTTCCTACACTTCTTTTTCCTCACTTGAGTGTTTTTTCTTTCTACCCTCCTTTGTTACTTTTGTTTGTTCGTCGTCCCCCCTCCTCAAAAAAACAACAGAAAGAGATGAGCAGAGTGTCAAATCTTTCCTTTTTGCTTCAGTTTCAGTGTGTCTTATACAACAGCGGTAAGTTTTATTTGACTTCTGTATTGTGTCGTCTACACGATAAGACAATTATAGAAAAAGAAGGAGTAGAAATATTTAGTCACCTTCAGTGGATTAATGTATTAGTTTAATAAAGAGATAAACTAATTAAAAACATTTTGCTTTTAGCTGTTTAGATTTTTCCGGTTTCTCTGTCCTTCTCTGTGAACTAACTGTGTAGCTGAAGCAGTCAGAATTATTTTTGTAAACGTATGTTCTTGTGTGATGCAGTTTTTTGCTTCTGTCTCCTATATTAAACCATTTTTCCTAATACTTGTCTCTCTTCGTGTTGTTATGTTCCAGTGGCTGTCTGATGTCGTATTGTTTCTCACCTTAGCGCTGCCATCTTCCTCTCTCTCTCTCTCTCTCTCTCTCTCTCTCTCTCTCTCTCTCTCCCTCCCTCTCTTTGTGTGTATTTTTTGCTTTTTATCACATAGTAAAGTTGACTCCATCACCAGCGACAGCTCACTATGCTGTTCCCACTAAACATAGTAAATATACATCGAGGTGTTTGTATGTATATTACTGTGTAGCCCAAGTCGCCACATGACAGTCAAGCAAAAATGGCCGACACAGTTCCAGGAAATCCGGATTTTGTTTACATTCCAGCTGGATGAAAATCACTTGAAGGGATGATTTGACATTTTGGGAAATACACTCTAAATGATGTTGCATGCTCAGAAACTATCCTAAATATGTTGTATAGCCAAAACTTTTATATTACTTTAACCCGTCTGGTAACAAGCCAGCTAATGGGGTTAGCTCTAATGTGTCCCACTCATAGGCTCACTACAACAATAAAAAAAAGTTTTAGATTTCTCATGGCTATTCGAGCCTTTTCAAAGAATCTCTCTACAAGACTTTTCACTCTTTTTATTATAACTGCACTTTTTCTGAGTTGTGTCATGTAATTTTGAGCAACAACTTTAAATAACTTGAATTTTTTTAAGTTACTTTATAAAGTTTTCTGAGGCATTTTTCTTAATCGGTAAACTTTGTTCTTTTTAGGACCCATTTTAAAAGTATCAGAGTGAAAATGACATAAATATAACAGAATTCCATATTATCTACATTTAAAAACTGCCAAGGAGTGAATAAAACCATCTCAAGACTCTAAGTAATAAAGCTGTTTAAAACAACCATTAAGCTTAATTTGCAGGTCCATCCCTCTCGGCTGTGCTTCAGCTGTACCTACGAATATGCCTCTAAAGTCACATGTAAGCTTCGAGCTGATGAACGCCTGTAGCTACCGTAGAAATACCTTACATTCACTCACAGATGAGCCTATTTTAAGGTTTCAGCTAACCTCAGACAAACCGAACAAGAATTTGGATGTAGTAATTCTTGAGGAGGATATGTGATCTTCCCAAGTTTTGGGGGACTTAATGGCAAGCCTTTATGTGAAACTATTAAAAAAAGCCTTTAGCAAGATGTTTCCCCAAAGTGTAAAATCAAACTTTATTCGTTAAACCTCCCTAATTCACCCAAATCCAGCTGAGAATCACGTTATGTGATCTTACGCTGAATTGGTTGCTATTGGCTTGTGCTGTCCTCCTGTCCTGGGCGAGACCTGTCCACTGTATGTCCACTCTGTGTCCAATCCACCTCGTACTGTCTCACCATCACAACTGCATCCCCAGTAGGGAAAGAGGAAAGAGAAGTCAAAGGTCAAAGGTTTCACCGTCCATTCACGGATACCGAGGAGGATTTAGTACCTTTGCCGTGATCGTTGGCGTTTTCCTAGGAGGAACGACTTTCGTCTTCAGATGTCGGCTGCTTTGTGAAACGTGAAAAATGGTTTCAAAATGTGTCCAATAAATCAAACCATTTACTTCAAAGTAGTTCTCTAAAGCAAAGCTCTAAAATTTTTATCTTCATAACTTCATCCATCAAATATTGGGCGTGCTGTATATTATGTGCTCTGTGGCACATTATAGCATCTTACCCTTTCATCACTGCACCAGTCCACCTAGTCTGTTATTAAATATTGATTCTGCAGTTCAAAAGGCATACAATAAACTACCCACAGTCTGTGGATCCAACCTATGGTTAGATATTACTCCTACATTACTGCTAACCTGAGGCCCGCAATGTGAGACGATGTTTGAAGCTCAGACATTTTATCTTTTTACTCAGATTTTTCTCTTTTTATATAACACAAAGCAGCCAACGTGGTTTTTTTTTTTTTACATAAAACTTACATTTTCACAGACATTTTGACCCCTGAGGCCATTGCTGAATCTGCAGTAGGAAAGGTAGGTATCCACAGACGGCTTTCTGGACGCACGGGAAATCAAGGTAGGTTCAAAAATCTGATGCAACTTCAACCTATACATGGCCAGAATTTTGTTTAAGCTAATCAGAATTATTTAAAATATTACGCACATTTTTTATTGCTCCTGGATTCAAATATTCTGTAGATTAAGTTTCTTTGCAACAAACCGTTTTGGTGCCTGACAGCTTTTCCATGGACCAGTGGGGGTGATCACGTGAATAACAAATGTAAAAAGTGCGTAACATATCGTTGTAGTTGCAATACAAATGTAAATTTTACTCACTACCTCTTATCATACTATGAATATTTATTATTTTTCTAAATGAAATACCCCACAGACCAATCAGTACTAGAGGAATAACTTGAGTGGTTTGATTCTTTACGGCCTGGCATCAATGCTCCGTGGTTTGGTACCAGTTATTTGTCCAGTGTTTCTGAATCTGCTTTAGACCGCATTTCACAACTATGCTTCCTACAATATTATTTAAATCATAAAAAGTCCCATTTGTTAAGCCGCTAATGGTTTCATTCACCATAGATGCAGTTTCTTTGTTTGAAAGCAGCATAATTTAGTAGTAAATGTGCTCCGGAGACACAAACACGTCCTTTTACTGCCTCCCCTACTTTGCCGCCTTTTCCAAACCCCTTTCATGCAGCTATCACAAAGCCTCTCAGGTACATTCAATGAATAAATCCCACAGTCAATGCAAGACTATTTACAACGGGTAGAAAGCAGCGGTGCTGGATCGATTCAACAAACACAAAGATATTGTTTGCAATAAAAACACTGGAGCTGTGCTGGAGTGGAGTGAGAGCATTTTGGGCCATTCAGGTGGTTCGGATGCAGGTGAGACAACATAAAAGCACATTCAGCTGATAAACTGTTATTAATAACTGAGAGGAAGCTCTGCCCTCATGGGTCATGCAGAGCTGGATCACAGAAACCAGATGAAAAAGAGAAGTAGTTTGATTTGAGCTAATGGAGGTTAACTGCCAGCGAAGGCGGACACGGTGCCAGAACCAGCAGGCAGGAGGTCCGATTATTTGTGATGGAGGTTCAGGAAGGGGTTTGGTTTGAAAGCAGTGTTTTACAGGAGGATGCAGGTCTGGATAAACTCATTTCTCCTGAAAATACCAAGGATACATCTATGGAGGAGTTTTCTGAGGAAGGTGGGTCCTCCTGGACGTTTAACCAGTTTTCAGTGTGATCCCGTATTTCCCCAAGTAGAAAAGGGGAAAAAAAACATCTGTTAGCAGCAGATTAAAGAAAAATTTGTTTATTTCCTGGAGCCTAAAGTTTTTTGTAAATCAATGGTTTATCCTGCATTCAGGAATATTCCAGCATAATTCACAATTCACGAATGTTCACCGAGACGGTAAAGCAGATGAAAGGGAGAGTAAAGAGTGGTCAGTTCAAATAGGTTAAAGGTTAAATCAAAGCTAGTAGACATTTCCTTAATGCAACAATATAAATTTGGTGTCTATGAATAATTTAAGAAAGGGCAAACTGCAGCACAACTAAAGAGAATTTTAAAAAGAGAAAGGAAGTTGAAAATCTTCATTTGAACCCAAATTTGTTTCATTTATACAGAAGAAAAGCAAAGATAATCAAACGAGTAGCTCTTTGTGAGGGATTCGACCTCGGTCATCTAGCAAAAGAGCCTCTCAAGTTCAGGTTTAATTAGAATTATAAAATAATGTGCAAACCCTCGTACTGAAATATCCACCTGATGCTGATAACACAGAACATAAAACGGAATCATGGATCCACAAAGATGAGTAAAAAAATGGTGTTGATGTTCTGAATTAAAGGATTAGTTTCACACATGAATAACATTTTCATGTATTTCAGTTACAACAACTCCTTTATGGAGGTTTGAATAAAAGGTTGGAGGCGCTAGCGTGATGCTAATTTACCGTTAGCCGGTTGTGTTTTCAAAACAAATGATTATACATCATTCTTAAAAATGTTCACAAACTACATAATGTTTGCTGACAAAATCAAAAATTAAGTACAGATATAATTTGGCATCAATTTGATCCCAAAACTGAATGTGCCCTAAACTCTTCCCAGATTAAAGCGTACATTTATGTTTTTATAGCTGATCCCGTCACCGTTTCCATCTAGCTTTCCAGAAGCGGCGGATAAACAGTTATTTGCGCTCATACCTGAAGCTGCTCTGAATTCCCTGTGCCTTGTAGAAAATAAGACATAACTTCAGAATAAACCCCTTTGGTATGCAGGTAATTAAATTATGGTATTGATCAAAGGAAGGCCTGGGGGAGCGCTGCTGCTGCTTTTCATATATTTCCTCTCAGTTTCCTTTTGCATTCCTTTGAAAAGCTGTGGTGACTCACTGCCTTTGTTAGACAAAATATTCACTGTTCTGCTTATGCAACGCTTAAGCTTGTTGGCAGGAGAAACAGAGCCGTGTACAACACCAGGAACAGGACTACCAGCTTGCTGCCAATGTGCTGCTAAAAATGATGCAATGCTTCCATCTTGTGGTCAAACATCAATTGTGTCACTTTAAAAAATTCACAAGAGAGAAACAGAAAAGTGGACTTTATTAAATGTGATCTTTTCATTCTGTCTTTCTTCTTTGGGGCATGCATAATCTCCGTTTTTATCTTTGCCACAAACAGCCTGGGTGTTTGCTTTACTAAATCAGAGGCCCACTCTGACCAGCTCAGTGTCCACCCTGGGACTGGGATATCAGGGTTCAAATCCTGAATGGGTCATGCCAAAGACTTTGGGACCCAAAGTCTGGCTGCTTGACACTCAGCTTTAAGGGATTAGATTGGGGGTGTTGACCAATTAGTTCCCGAGCGCAGCCGCTGCTGCAGCTCACTGCTCCCCACGGGGATGGGTCAAATGCAGAGGACAATTTTCACCAGACACCAGAGTGTTTGACATCTGATGGGACTTTAATCTTTAAATGTAGGCTTTTTGAATGGGTCGATACCATAGACATGGTTAACAGACGACTTAGACG